TCTAAACTTCAGTTGAATAAGAAATAACAGCAAAAATCAAAATATGGAAATATATCAAACTACAAAGCTTCTGTGCAGCAAAAGAATGAGTAAAAGGCAATCTATAGAGTGGGGAAAAGTTTGTCAACCATTCCTCAGACAGAGGGACTAGTACTTAGAATATACAAAGAACTCAAAATAAGCAAACTACCTAAAATTAAAGATTCAGTCAAGAAATGGCAAAAAGAAAAAAATGAACAGACACTCACGGAGGAAGAAATACAAATGGTCAACAAATGTATGAGAAATGCTCAACATTCTGGCCATTAGAGAAATATGAATTAAAACAACACTAAGAATACATCTTACACTAAGAATGGCAATTATTAAGAAATCAAACAATAAATTCTGGTGAGGCTGTGGTGAGAAAGGAACCCTCTTGCATTGCTGGTGGGAATGTAAAGTAGCACAGTCATTATGGAGATCTGTATGTTTCTGGCACTTTCTAGACATCTGTCAGTCAGTCTCCATCACTAAGGAGGTAAAGCTGGAGGAAGAAGATGAGGTTCACAGTGGGCAGGGAATTTATTATCCCAGAAATAAAGAAAGGTGCACAGTGGACTCTCCTTTTTTAGACAATGGGGTTTGGCCTGGAAGGAATCTCATTGCATGTGACAGAATGAGGTTGTGAGAACACCAGTGTAACCTCTCAACTCTGCGCTGTCCCAAGCAAGCATCCTGAGCAAAGCAATAAAAGAAAGGAGGAAAGGAGGGAGAAGGATGGAGGGAGAGAGGCAGGGAGGAAGGCAGAGAGAGAGAGAGAGAGAGAGAGAGAGAGAGAGAGAGAGAGGAAATGAGAGGGGAGAAGGAGAAAAGAGACAGATGGAGACAGAGACAGGTATGGAGAGAAAGAAACCCTGTTTGAAAGGATCTAAATCACAGAGCTCTAACAGTATGGAGAAAGGAACAGAAAGCAGTGAAGTTCAAAAAAAGAAACAGACCCTCTTCCCACTTCTTTTAATAGAAATTTAAATTAAAACACATGATGGAAAAAACAGTGGCTCCAAGGACAGGATTCCTTATTGTGTGAGACACACAAGCACGCACCCATTTACAAAGTGTGGTTGTGCATAAATATATGCACGTATGTATAATGTAGTGTGGTCTGTCATGGTTGCCTGGTTGCTCTGGGAATAAGCCAAGGACAAGGCACTCTGTGGTAGCATAATTTAAGTGCAGAAGAGAATATATGTGGGCTAAATACCAAAGAATAAAATTGTTCTTTTGCTATTTTAACAATGAAAAAAGGTCTCTCTGATTTTTTTCAAGGGGCAAATACTTTTCAAGAAGAAAAGCCCTTTCAAGGGCTTTTCAAGGTGCATGCGGTGGAGGACTAGGAAAGGTGAGCCTTCTGCCTGCCTCTGTGGCTTGACCGTGGCCCCTAGTTCTCAGCAGACAGCCAGGGTGAGCTTACTAACACTCACTCGGGCACTCCGTGTCACGGTGTCCGGGCTTTCCCACCTGTGGAACCTGAACCGTGAAGGGCTCATAGGAGCCTCAAGGGCCCCGGCCTCCCCAGGCCCTGTTGCCTGTGGCTGCTTTTTCCCCTGACTTTTCTCCCCTACTCTCGGGCATTCATATTTCCTGTTCTGCCTGAAGGGTATCTTCACACCCTTGCTCTCGAATCCTTCAGTCAAATGTCACTTTTTTAGGGAGGTGTTTCTTGGTGACGCTGTTTACCTGTAGACCAGCTTATTCTGGGCAGTTCCTCCGCGAGCTTCCTGCTCTGTGACCGCACCACCCCGTCACACACGTGTCTCCTGACAGGAAACTCTGTGATTTTTTTTTTAATGTAACATTAAGTCCCTAGACATATGAGTGGTACGAATAAATGCTGCATTAGAGAATCAATAAATGACTTTTATTCTATGTAAATTATCTACAAGAATGTGTTAAACATGTTGAAACCAAGAGATTCAGCTTTTTTGATATATACATGAGCTAGAAATGGCCATAAAATAAAAGTATTTGAAAATTCAAACTGGTTGCTTTTACATACATACATAGATGTGTATATCTATAACAGGGATTGGTTTTTATAAGACTGCTCTTGCTCTACTCCATGGGCTTTCTTTCTTGAAGCAAAATTTATTCATTTAGGCAAGTTAAAGCATGAGAGTGAAGACTGTTCAACACTGCTTTAAAAATAGAAATGATCACTTTTTTTAAGTCCCAGAGAAGCAAAAGGTTTTCATAGATCAAAGGAAAATTTCTCTAAAATGTAAAGCACTCATAATAATTGACAAGAAAATGACACACAAACCTCAACTGTTAGCTGAACAAAAGATACAAACAGTTCACAGAAGAGGAAATGCAAGTGACCCCAGAACAGGTGAAAAGATGTTCAACTCATTAAAATGAGCAGGCAAACTGAAATGAAACTTTTATTCCTTTTGTCACTTCGCTGACCCGTTTGGCCACCACTGGCTGCAACAGGGAGGATGGGCATCATCCAGCAGCAGTTCGGAAGAAGTATTAAAAGTTCTAGTTGTATATAGTTGTTGAAGGTTTAAAACCATTTCTCTGAATATGCTCTTCTAATATACCTGCATACAGTCAATATGTGTATGTATATGTACAAAGTTATCAACTGCATTAACATTTAACTTGCAAAACTCACTGTAAACAACTCAAATGTCCACAACTAAGGGCCAGGTTAATCTACACAACGGAAAACAGCACAGCATGAAGCAACACAAGGCAAGTCACCTGGCCTCCCTTATGCAGTGACATGAGAAGACTACAAGATGCATCAATGAGAAAAGATGCAGAATATGGGGGAAATACACATTTCTCACATTTCCTTAAAGGAAATAAGCATTAGAAATGAATATTCTGGGTGCCTATGGAGGGCCAGGCTCCTAGGCAAATGGGGATGGGGCCAGGGCTAGGGGAAAGCTTTGTGCTCCACTCCTCTACATAATGTTCAACTCTGCAAGTAACTTTATCATCATTTTTACAAAGTAAACAAGGAATTGTTTACGGCTCACTCACTTTTCCTCTCCTACTTCCTAAGGCATGATCTGTGTAGGCAGGGGAACTGGCACTCCCATTTCCTGCTCTAGATGTTCATTCTCTTCCCCTGGAGGAAAGGCTGTCTGAGTCAGAGACCAGGACTCCCCAGTGATACAGCTAAGCGCTGCAGGAAAGTCTGTGGCCATTTGCTTCCATTGCCCCAGTCTGTAATCTCAGGCGCCCTTGCCTCTTCTCAAGCCAGCTCAGAAGCACTTCTCACATGTACTCTGGTCACAAGTGCCAAGCAGTCTCTTCCACGCTCACCAGCACCACTCTTACTCCACAGGAATCTGGGGTCCTTTGGGCCTCCACTGCCCGCTGAGTACCATGTGTCTAGTGCGGGCCTTACACATAATACTGAATACACATATCTCCCCATCTATCTGTGTCTACCAGAGGAGCCACAAAAATGACATCTGTGCTAAATATTCAGTACTAGTCACAGCAATAGCTATTTTTTGAACACAAAGTATGTACTATGCAGTCTCTGGTTTCAGGAAGTTCGCAATCTGTTAGCTTGCTTTACACTATCATAGTACTTTCTAGAAAATATTTAATAAATGCTCATGGATGTTGTTGTTGAAGAAGGTTCACGCCAAAATAGATAAATTCCTGTGTTTTCTAGTCCAGGTCTCAGCAGGCTAAATGATTGTTTTACAATTGTTCCTTTTTTGCATCTAACTTTATTCATTTAAAATCTTTTTAAATTCTCCCGTGTACTTTTTATTTTAACTATCTCCTACTCATTTTTGTAGGATTTAAAATTTTAGCTCCTAACACAGAAAGCTAACCTTCTTTAAAACCTCACAATTGAATACTTAAAGAGAGTTGTGTGTCTTCATTTAGACTCTGCTAGGAAAGACTAGATGGAGGATGATTCTTGTCTCCCTGAAAAAAAAAAATCCTCTTAAATTGTTAAGTTTCTAGCATCTTTTGGAACATAGAAGTCATTTAGAGTTTTCAGTAAAACCACAAAGACTTTTTGGGGCTGCTTAAAAAGATAAAAGAGTTCTCAGCACACTATATACTTTCAGAACAAAAATAATAAAAACTAGCTCAACTCACTCTGTGGTATTGATAATTTATTTTTGACAGGTCCCAAAAGAAGGGAAGAGGAAAAAAAAATATACTTGGCTCTCCTTACAGAAATTATTCGTAGTGTTTTTCCCTCTTAGGATAATGGACTATTAAATGTTCCATAAAATCTCTTTCAGTAATTTTGTGATGGGTCCACATTTTATAAATCATGTTTTGTAACTAGAAAAAGAAAAAAAAAATAAAAGATTCAAGAGAATCATCTTAAAAATAATTCATTCTACTGATTTTGTTGAATTTCCTATTCCAAATTTTTTCTGCCCTTCCAAAAAAGTAAACAGTCCATGATTGAGAAATTTTCTTACACTGTAATTAAAACTGAAAATTTCATGACTGCCACCTACTGGTGAGAAAAAATGACAATTTATTTTTCAAATTTCCCACTTCCTCTCAGATATTTTGCATTAAAACATATTGAATGCTGTATGGCAGGGCTTTCAGAACACTTTACATGTTTCAATTTAAAGCATATATTTCTAGTTTTGTACGAGAAATCAAAACACATTTCCTTTTTACAGTGTAATAATTTTAAAGCACTGACACAGATGGGTTGTGGTGCTCTACTTTAATTTGTTTTTATAGACACAGATGCTAGTTTATTTGGCAATAAAATGTGTGGTTACTGAAAGATTGGTCAAGCCCAACTAAGTTTATATGGTGAAAATCTTTATGAAAGACATCATTAACTCTATGTACAAATGAATTGTGAAAACAGAAAGACAACTCCATAAATTCCCTGTTTAGAAAGTCACCAGAATTTAAGAAGGCAGTCTGGCACTTGAGAGTGAACATCTGTATATCCACCCTTTGCATACAGGAAGCGCTTGACATTTGGAATGCATGACACATACCTGGCTTAAAGTGTGGTAAAGAATGTACCCCGGGCCACGTGTCCTCATTTGGTGTTCCGAGAACCTAGTGGAGAGCAGAAAATTGTGGAAACAGACTTATTATTTCCAAAACACTCAAAATTCTCAAGTGTAGAAACAGTACACTGCGTATTATGAAACTCGGAATTTTTTTTTTCCATTATCGTGTGCCAGGGATTTTACTAGAGTAAAAACAAATCCGGCCAAGGAGCCACCCAAGATGAATCTCTGTGTTCTAACAAATGCAGCTGAATGTGGCAAGACAAGTTAAATCTGCTGTATTTTATTAAGCACAGAGCTAATGAGCAGGCTAAGGAATCAAATGGCAAGACGTCACCTCCGTGGAAGTGAATGAAGAATGTGTGCACCTCGTGATCCGGTCCTGAGCCCTGAGCCCTGGCCCTTCCTTCAGTCTCTTGTGTCACATCATTTGCCAGTTCCAGGAAGTCCACCCTCCCCCCACCTCCCCCACACCCTCTGCCTGAGCAGCACAATCAGTTTCAAAGAGACAATAGTGGCAGGACAGCTTTCAATGCTCAAATTCTTTTATTCATGAGAACACGAAGCAGGCACCCGGTAAGCATCCACGAGCACCCGTGGAAGATGCAGTAGTTAGGGAGCGGCTGCCCCGGGGTAGAATGCGCACCACCGCTGTGCCATGGTGGCTCCCTGTCCAAGGCAGTCAGTGCCAGGTGTGATATTTAAACTATGACGGACAGTGAGGGTGAGCTTGGTAGGCTAGACAGGGCCAGAGATAAAGCTAGAGAAGAACAGAGGAGGAGGAGGAAGGGCAGGCACTAAGGGGAGGAACAAGGCGCAGTTCTCTTTATTTCTGAGAACTGACGGGCACTGCTCAGCAATCAGGCAATGCAGAGCCCTGACAGTGCCTGGATCTACTGGGGAGGGGAGGACTGCAGTGTCAAGGGGACACCGACATAGCGAGTGTTTGTTCACCCTGCTGTGCTCTATGAATCAGGGTCAAATACCTGCATTTATGTTTCTCACTGGAACACTGAATCAGCACATGAGATGATACAATTCTTTGAAATCATAACTGGTTAATTTTTCAAGCACTAATCAGTAATTAAATTTATAGGTGGATGTGCCTACAAGATGGAGTAATCGATTAGGCTGGGTGGGGAGGGCAAGGAGACAGGTAAGAGTTGTTAAGATAGGAACACAGACTGTGACATAAATCAAAAGTCCTGCAAAAGTCATTGTCCCCTTTCTTTTCAATAGTTCCAACCATTCTTTTCAGAGATGGAGACCATGAATTTAGCAGGTGGCATGCGTGGCCTGTCTGGGAATGCTCTCATATTGAGTTCTGCATGAAGGATGATGAGGCTCAGCAGCATTAAACTTTAACCAATAAAAGGTGGAAATTGCAACTAAAATCACCACTGGAAATACAGCCAATTGGTTACACAAACAACAAGCCCTCCTGAAGTGTCATAAACAGTGAAAAGCTCAGTCAGAACCTGAAGCCTGCTCTCCTGTTTCTAAGTAAAGTGTGGCTGTTATCTTGACTGCCGCATGCTCTATGACGCCGTGTTGGCCAACTGTCTCCCTGCGCCTCCTCCTTGTACATTTCCAGTGTTCTGCTTCAAAAGATTATTAAACGGTATGGCTGTTCCATAAAAATTACTCAGAGGAAGAAAATTTATAAGACTTTTTTTCAGGGATAGACTTGACTATTGAGATTCCACACTCTATTCCTTACCCTAGAGCATCTGTAGAGAAAAGCAAAGTGAATGGAAACGTAACAAAGGAAAACAAGAATTAAAAATTAAAAGAAACAGCAGTTTGAGTTAAATGAGTGATTAGCAATGATGGTTTACCTGTGCAGTGGGGAACATAGGTGTGTGTCGTCCCTGGTATCAGATTTCATTCTTATTAATGACTAATAAATTCCATTACCAAGACATTTCTAAATTAGAAGGAAACAGTAAAAGTTATCTACAAGTAAAGAGTAAATCTTTTACAGATAAATGAGTGAAAAAAATTGTGTGGCAGGACAGCCTCTAGAGTGAATGGTGAGCAACTGTTTGCTAAAAAAGAAAGGGCGTAAGTGACGGAAGAGTATTCTGGTTGTAACTAAATATGTACTTAAGTTCTCCAAATCATCTGACTGCTCAAGTTGGGTTTCTTCTTCCAGCGCTCTGATCCTTTAGTGTCCTGCCTCTTATTTGGCCAGATGAACTCTGTGTCTGTCTAAACCTCCCACTCACAGGCCACCTCTTTCTGAGAGACTTTTTGGACACTGGGCCTATGGAGCACCTCTGAGCTCCATGCAGACTTCTATTTGTAGGACATCATGATGGCCTTGGAACTGTGAGATGAGATGATCCATGTCTCCTGCTGGACTGCAGACCTCAAGAGGAGACTGTAACATGCACTTTCGGATTCTTAGTGTCTAGCCCATGTCCACTACCAAACATGGACACAGTAAATGCTGACTGACTGAATGAATGAATGAATGGTGTGTCTGGTTGAGAGGGTTAAGGTCATTGTAACTGGGTCACAAGCTGGGATAGACAGGAGAGCTGAGGCCATACACTGAGTCTAAAGACACTACATCTTATCTCCATTTCAGGTTTCCTCAACCAGCAGGTCACATGTTACATATTATAATATATTATAATATTATATATTATTATGACATGTTACATAATGATATATATTTAATTTTCCTTCACTACTGAGGATAGAACCTAGATCTGAAACTGATCTATATCCCCAGCTTAAAATTTTTTTAGACTTTTGAGCCACGATCTCATTAAGCAGCTAAGTTGCCCAGGCTTTGCATGAGCCTGAAATCATTCTGCCTCAGCCTCCAGACTGATGAATTAGAGGTGTGTGCATTGTACCTTGCTCTTCATAATACTAATACAAGATTTTTTTAGAGAAATAGACTCAAGTGGTCTCATTGCTTTCTTTTTGTTGCATATTCTAATTTTTTACTAAGATAAAAAGAAACATTCAGGCTGGTTTTTAATAGACATATCCATGCAATATCATGACATTAGTTTTTTTCTTTTATTAGTACCTATGAATGTTAGAAAATACTGGGTTTCAATGTACATATTTTGATCATAACCATCTCCCCATTAGTCCTTTCCTTCTTGAGACTTCTTATTCTTTCTTTTGTCTAGTAATAGTTTCTCTTCTACTTTCATGTCATCTTTTTTAAATTACACATACTACGAAGAACATGTGTTGCAGGCAGTGAGTTAGTTAGAAATATTATAGGCAGTGAGGCAGGGCTAGGCAGTGCAGAAGTCCAACTTGCAATTGTTGGGGAGACAGGCACCTCCTGCTGTGAGCGAAGCCTCAGACAAAAGATCAAGCAAATGCATCCACATCCTAAGGACTGATGTTCTAAATAGTTTCCTATCACCCTGAGAAAGCTAGGAGTCACCATCCCAACCCCCTAGGGAAGAGTCACTATTCTCTAAGAATGCCTGTGCTCTACAGTGACTTGCTTCCTCATTTGTCCTCAATTTAATCAGTTTTACCTAAACTATTAATCTTATTGGCTAACGATAGTTCTGTCCCATCTTATGCCTATCTGCCTTGTGAGTTCCCAGTTTTCCCCACCTTAAACCCATCTCACCCCATAATTTTACTCTATAAAAGTCCATAAAAAAGACAGTCTTTGACAACCCCCTGGGGACCCCTTCTGTCTCTCTCAGACAAAAGCTTTCTTTCTCTTAATAAATATATTCTGCTCTTAACCTCCATTGTTCCTAAAATTTATTCTTCCATTTTAGAGAACACAAACTCATACTGGACACAGCAGGTCGAGAGTTTCATTCCTTTATATCACATGCAATACTTGTCTTTCTGAGTCTAGTTTATTTCACGTAAGATGATATTCTCCAGTCACATTCATTTTCCTGAAAGTGACAAAATTTTTCTTTATGACTGAATATTATCCCATTGTATACATGTATCACATTCTCTTTATCCACTTATCTGTTGACAGAAAACTAGCTTGGTTATATATCTTGGCTACTGCTAATGGTGCTGCAGTAAACGTGTATTCCGTTATCTTGGCAGTATGCTGACTTTACTGTCTCTGAGCATACACCAAAGAGTACTATAGTGGGATTCAATGACAAGCCCTATTTTCACTTTTCTGAAGGATCTCCATACCAATTCCATAGAGACTGTACTAATTTACAACACCCTCCCCACAGCTGGGCAGAAAGGCTCCTCTTTCCCTGTCTTTAGAGCATTTACTGTTTTTGTATTCTTGGTAACAGCCATTCTGATTGGGATGAGATGGAATCTCAATACAGTTTTGATATGCATATCCCTGAACACTAAAATTGTTGAACATTTTCATATTCCTATTAGATGGCCATTTGTAGTCCTTCTAAGTACATTTCTATCATTTGCCCATTTATTGAACAGGTTACATGATTTTCTGGAGTTCAAGTTTTTTGAGATCTTTATTTATCCTTGATATTAATCATCTGTTAGAAGGGTACTAGGCAAAGCTTTTCTCCCATTCTAAGGATATCTCTTCACTCTCTTAGTTCTCTTTTTAAAAAAAAAAAATGGCTGTTTATTGGTACAATTTAGATATACATAATGATCATATTCATCATAGAGAATTTGTAACTGTCAGGATACATTCTTTTTTCCCCAATCCCCTTCCCTCCTTTCAAGCCCTTATTTACTCCCTATTTAAAAAGCTTTGATAAAATGATCCTTTTTAATCACTTGCCTCCTTTTCCCTTCCTTTCTTTACCCATTCCTATTTGTTCTTTTCTTTTCAACAATTTCCCCTACTTTACAATATCCATTGTACATTTTAAATTTTATATAGTCTCATTTGTTGATTCTTGCTAGTATATCTATGTCACTGGAGTCTATTCAGAAAGTCTTTGCATGAGCTACGGCTTTCCTCTATCCATTCTTTTAGCAAGTTTAAAGGTTTAACACCTACCTGCTTGATCCACTTTGAGTTAATTTTTTACACAGGGTAAGAGACAAGGACCTAGTTTAAATTACCTACACATGGAATCCAGTTTTCCCAGG